ACCCCTTCCAATTGGTGCATATGGACTTGGTAGGGCCAATGAAACCCTCTGTAGGACATAGGAAGCGATTCTTCCTCACGATTGTAGATGACTACACCAGATACGGGTATGTCTACTCCCTCAGACACAAAAACGAAGTGTTCCAAAGGTTTAAGGAATTCCACAGAAGAGTAGATATGCAACATAACATGAAAATAAGGCAGATAATGACTGATAGGGGGTCAGAATTCATGGCCAAAGAATTCACAAGGTGGCTGAGGGAGCAGGGCATAGCGCATTACACCTCTTCACCTTTCTCTCCCTTTCAAAATGGAGTCTCAGAGAGAAAGAACGGAGTGTTGCAAACCATGATGAGATGCGCCCTGGAGGATGCTGGGATGGGGCAGCATTTCTGGTCAGAGGCAATACACTACGCTAATTACACCCTGAATAGACTGTGGTCAAGCTCTATCAATAAGACACCATACGAGATGCTATACAACAGAAAGCCCAACATCGCACATTTACACATATTCGGCGCCCCAGCTGATGTCCACATTCCCAGACAGCTAAGAAGAAAAGGGGGAAAATTATCAAAAAGGTTAAGGTTCGTGGGTTACGAACCGGGCACAAAGGGCTACAGATTTGTCGACAACAATAACCGTTTTGTGGTTTCCAGATCAGCCAGTTTCCACGAAAACGCAAACTGGTCGAGGGTACACTCCAACGACATCCCAGCCAATAGAGTCACGTTCGAGCATGGCCAAGAGGAAAGGGAGGTCAGAGAGGTCACAGGGCACAAGGCCAACCATCGCAAGACAAGCGTCAAAGGTTGGAAAGAAGGGCACCCTTCACTGAAGATAGATGACCTGACGGACAAAGAGGCAGACATCATGCAGGAGACCGAGCCAACCCCCAGTAGGCCAATCAGAGAAACCAGAAACAAGCTACCAAAGAAGCTAGAGGACTACGTTATGACCATCCACAACACCCATTTCACGCCCAGCTCATACGAAGACATCCTCGAGCTCCCCCGGGAGGAGAAAGAAAAATGGATGCTTGCCATGGAGAAGGAGATGGAAAGCCTAAAGGACCTTCAGGTATACTCACCTGCCCAAGTTCCAGAGGACAAAAAACCAATAGGAACCAAATGGGTGTTCAGGGTTAAAACATTAGAGGACAACAAGGTCCTATACAAGGCAAGACTAGTCGCGCAGGGTTTCGCCCAAAGATACCCCGAAGACTATACGGACACCTACTCGCCAACCGTCAGGGCAGAGAGCGTCAAGAGCGCCCTGGTGGTGGCCACCATCCTGGGCTTGGAGGTCTTCCAATTCGACGTACAAACAGCATACTTGCACGCCGAGCTGGATAAGGAAATATACGTCAAAGCCCCGCCTGGGTACAACAAAGACAAGAACCAAACCTGGCTGCTGAACAAAAGCCTGTACGGGCTCAAGCAGTCGGGCAAAAGGTGGTACGACTGCTTGGCCAAGGCCCTCAGATCCATGGGCTTCGAGGCCACCTCAGCTGACAAATGCTTCTTTATGAGGAGAGAAAACGACTCATTCGAAGGTGTGCTCGTTTACGTGGACGACATCTTGTACATCAGCAAGCACAAGGACAGGTGTGACAAGTTCGCCACCGACCTAGGTAGCCACTTCTCCTTAAAGTCACTTGGAAAGATTGACAGATACCTAGGGGTCCAAGTGATAAAAACCAACAAGGGCTTCCGACTCTCCCAGAGAGAAAAGATCATCGAGCTGCTGTCCAAATGCAACATGTCCGAAGCAAAACCCAGCGAGACCCCCATGCAACCCGAGTTCCTGAAAACCATGTATGAGGAATCTGAACCCTTCACAGACAACAAACTATATAGATCAACGATAGGGTCACTGCTGTACATATCCAACTGGACCAGGCCCGACATCGCCTTGGCCGTCAACCTGCTGTCCAGACATGTAAGCAAACCTACGGTAACACACTGGAACGCCATCAAAAGACTACTTAGATACTTAAAATTTAGTGCAGATGCCCTACTCTGCCTAGAACCAGAAACATCCAAGGAACCAAAGCTGACCTGCTACGCTGACGCCGACTGGGCTGGGGACATAGAGTGCAGAAAAAGCACCTCAGGCTACGTGCTACTACTCAACAATTGCCCCATCCACTGGTACACTGGAAAGCAAAAACTGGTGGCCACATCAACCACGGAAGCAGAATTTGTTTGCCTATCAAAGGCCGCAAACAATTTAGTATGGTTCGATGACCTGCTCTGCGACATCTGGGCTGAACCCTCATATCCAATAGTTATCCACGAAGACAACAAGGCAGCGATAGAAATCTCTAGGGCCGATGCCATAGGTCAGCGTTCTAGGCACATTGACATTAAATACAAACACGTCAGGCAGTTTTCAGAGATAGGCTTCATTAGGGCAGTGCACTGTGACACAGAGGAGCAAACAGCAGATATTCTCACTAAACCCCTACCACATAAACAACATGCTTACCTCATGTCAAAAATGCGTGTTTGCTTATAATTCATGCCTGTACCAGTGTATTCTCTGTATGTATGCTAACACCGCCTCAGGTACCCAGTTAGGCATTTAGAGGGGGTTTTGTCATGATAAAATGCCTAACTGCCATGTCTCCCTGATCCCCCGGACCCTCAAGGGTTAACTAACCACATATCCCATAATCCTTATAACCACTCCTTACCTCTTGACCCCTCCTCCTGGGTACAAAAGGTCCAACCGCATGGTCCACAGCTCATTCCAGATGTATACCTGAAAGAGAAAGGTACAAGGTCAGTGACCTCCAGTACCAACTGATCAACAATAAAACTACTGAAAAGAATTGGGCTATGTCTTTGAGTTATTGGGCTAGATCCAGTTTCTAACAGTTTTTAAGAAGATGTTGGATAACCATTTGTCTGAAGTGGTGTAGGGTTTCCTGCCTAAGCAGGGGGTTGGACTAGAAGACCTCCAAGGTCCCTTCCAACTCTGTTATTCTATTCCATTCTTGCTTTAACATTTCTCAGGCACACTAGTTTCTTATCACTAAAAAGAAAAGTTCACTTGGTTGCCCTTAGCCAGATCTCCGAGAGACAGTAGATCAAATGTTTTAATCCCCAGTTTCTCACAACTGTGATGAACATTTTTCCTGTTTAGGCAGCTCATCTAACGTGAATGCGCAACGGAGAACTTTACTTTCTCCACCAATTTTACATTTAATTTGGTCGGTACTGTCCAGCTTTCTTTTCTTCTTTAGTGGATAGCAATAGCACTTAGACTTATATACCGCTTTGCAGTGCTTTACAGCCTTCTCTAAGCGGTTTACAGAGTCAGACTCTTGCCCCCAACAATTTGGGTCCTCATTTTACACACCTCAGAAGGATGGAAGGCTGAGTCAACCTTGAGCCTGGTGAGATTCAATCTGCCAAATTGCAGGCAGCCGGCAGGCAGTAGAAGTAGCCTGCAGTACTGCGCACTGACCACTGCTGCGCCACCACGGCTCATAATATCATGTAATACTGCAGTTTGTCCAGCAGGAAAACATTTTTTCACTATTTTTACCTTAAGGCTTTTATAATGGAGATAAACCAGTGGTGAAATCCAAATTTTTTTACTACTGGTTCTGTAGGGGAAGGATACTACAAAATCCCCATTACCTCCCCACTCCTGGGGGAAGGATACTGCAAAATCTCCATTCCCACCCCACTCTGGGGCCAGCCGGTTCTCCAAACTGCTCAAAATTTCTGCTACCGGTTCTCCAGAACCTGTCAGGACCTGCTGGATTTCACCCCTGAGATAAACATGTTTAAAACGGCAAGCTCACCTACCAGATTTTATGGCTTCTTAGAGCAAACAACAACAACAACAACAACCAAAACCAGAATCAGTGCCCTTCTCCCAGAAGCCAGTAGAACAGCTGGGACCAAAAAGTCATTGACAATTTTGAAGGTTGAGAGGAATTAAGGGGAAAAATAAGTGGCGAATATCTTTCAGTTGCTTCAGATACCATTTCAAACTCCTGATATCCTCTTCAGGATGGACTCTGGCTTCATCCAGTTCTGCAGTGCGATTCTCAGCATGCCACATAACATCTAGTGCAGCTTCTGAACCAGAGGAGCTATTCCTTTTTTACAGGGTCGTTCTTAACGTAACCAATTTATTTATTTTAAATTCTGAACCGGCACCACACAATTCACGTCGTGTAATCTGAAAGCAGAACTTGTAGAAAGGGTGGAAGGCATCCCTGCTGAGAAGTAAACCCAGTGCTAAGGACCATTTAAGGGATGCGGTGTCTCAGTGGCTAAGATGCTGAGCTTGTTGATTGAAAGGTTGGCAGTTCAGCGGTTCGAATCCTTAGTGCCGCGTAATGGGATGAGCTCCCGTTAAATGAGCTCCCATTACTTGTCCCAGCTTTGGCCAACCTAGCAGTTCGAAAGCACATAAAAAGTGTAAGTAGAAAAATAGGGACCACCTTTGGTGGGAATTTAACAGTGTTCTGTGCGCCTTCAGCATTTAGTCATGCCGGCCACATGACCACGGAGACGTCTTCGGACAGCGCTGGCTCTTCGGCTTTGAAACGGAGATGAGCACCGCCCCCTAGAGTCGGGAACGACTAGCACGTATGTGCGAGGGGAACCTTTACCTTTACCTAAGAACTATTCAGTTACTACAGTCCTAAGCAAATTAAAATGTTTGCTTTTAAAAAGCAAATTTAGAGCACAGGACTTTATTTGCTTTCTTAGACTAGCTTCCTATTGAGTTTGGTATGACTTGCTTAGAAACCCTACAATGACCAATGTTGTGGTCATTGCTCTTGTTTGATCATTATTCATTGGCCTTCTCTAATCATTAGTCATGTCTGGTTAAGCGGCTGGTCTCTTGATCCACACAATAGCTCACGAACCATTTGCTGACTTTCAGTCAGATGTAGTATAATCAAGTCTCGTCAATGAATGATGATGTCACAGTTTTCTTCTTGTTCATTAATCTGGATAGTTTCTCTTCTAGGCTGGATCTTGCTCAGTCACTGGGCCTCACTCAACTCCAAGTGAAAACCTGGTATCAGAATCGCAGGATGAAATGGAAAAAAATGGTAAGCATTTAATGAATTCGGAGAGAGTACTAAGGGTCAGTGGTGAAATCCAAATTTTTTTACTACCGGTTCTGTGGGCATGGCTTGGTGGGGCGTGGTGTGGCTTGGAAGGTGTGGCAGGGGAAGGATACTGCAAAATCCCCAGTCCCTCCCCACTCCTGGGGGAAGGATATTGCAAAATCTCCATTCCCACCCCACTCTAGGGCCAGCCAGAGGTGGTATTTGCCAGTTCTCCGAACTGCTCAAGATTTCTGCTACCAGTTCTCCAAAACCTGTCAGAACCTGCTGAATTTTACCCCTGCTAATGGTTAAATTTGCAGGACCGCCTTCTGCTGCCGATAGCCTCCCACCGACCAGTACGCTCCCACAGAGAGGGACTCCTCAGGGTGCCGTCAGCCAGGCAATGTCGGCTGGCGACCCCCAGGGGGAGGGCCTTCTCTGTGGCAGCTCCTGCCCTCTGGAACGATTTGCCCCCGGAGATATGAAGGATTTCGGATCTCCGGGTTTTTCGCCGTGCCCTAAAAACTTTTCCATCAAGCAGGGCTGGTGTGAAACCCCCCCCACTTTTTAGTCTTTTTTAGCTTTTAAATTGTTAAATGGGTTTTAGTTTTCAATGTTTTAAATTTTGGGGGGGCCATAGTTATTTAATTCTTTTAATAATTTTAAATTTTGTATTGATATGTGTTTTAGTTCTGGCTGTGCACCGCCCTGAGTCCACTAGGAGAAGGGCGGGATATAAATTGAATAAAATAAAATAAATAAATAAAATAATAAATAAATAAATTGAGTGTCAGTTGAGTGACTTCAACAGGAATGAATCTGACCCTGAGGAACATATTATCAGTTGATTTCAGGGTGTCTCTAAAACCATAATTAAGCCTATCCACCCCACAAAAAAATAAGGGACACCAGGATTCTTTACAAGGTATGGTCAAACAATGGCCACAACCTCAAAATGGTGCAATCGAAGTTCTGTTGGTAAAACACACATAAAAATGGACTGAGTTTCTGAGTGCGCCATCTTAATTTTATAACCACAATCTGAGTACTGCAAATATTTGTGTGTATTGGTTCAACAGTTTTTGATTTTGGCAATGGCTATTTTTACAGTTTTTATCTTTGTGGCCTAAGGATGTTTAGCCTTTGACAAAGAAATCTTTATTTTGTCCACAACATAAAACAATACCACAGTTAATTCATGCCAGGTTACATATGAAGTTTTGTGTTGTGCACTGGTGTGATATTTTTTCTCTAGGTTTTTTTTTTTTAATATCTAGTGATTTTTACTCTAGTTTTTGTTTGTTGTCTCCAAAATTTGCACAATGATAAAATTGTGATGGGATGGCATGATGGGATGGAGATGGGAGGTATAGAAATGTGATGGATGAAAAAAAATCAATAAATGGAAAAAAGCGAGCTGCCTGAAGCACCAATGACTAGCGTTCATGATATGGGAAGAATGTTTTCTACTTGCTTTTAATTGCATATCTGACTCACCTCTCAAACAGTGCATATATTAAAACTCTTCTCCAAATTTTGCCACGAGTTGCTTCTCCCCAAAAACAACAATAAAAGATGTCTTATTATGCATAAAAATGTATGAATCGGAGAAAATAACAGGCGACCATGTAATAAATTAGGGGAAATGGCTTGGCAAATGAGTAAATTAGGCAAAAATGCACAAAAGGTTAACAATGGGGTGGGTGGGTAGGTGGTTCTTAATGCCAACCAATGTAGGGCATAGAGCAAAATAAATTTAAGATGGAGACGACACAAAGAAGCCAAAATCAGTCCATTCGCCTCTCTGTAAATTGGTCAGCAGGATCTTATTCTGACCTAGGCTTTCCCAAACCACGAAGCAGACTCCTTGTCCTGTCAAAAAACCCTTTTTATTAAGTTACTGTGAATTCTTTTCATTCACATCCAGCAAAGTCTTTCAAGGGTGAATTCACAGTCACAGACCTTATCTGGCTTGGAGAGCTGCCGGGCCAATATCTTCAAAACTTGACAAGGAGTCATGAAGAGTCACAGAACCAATTAAGCAGACTAATTGTCTCCTGCAAACTCCACTCCCCTCTCGCTCCTCTTATATTCCCTATGGGAGGGGCCATTCATCGTCCACTTCTGGCGTTACTCCCAAGTCGACCCTTATTCTTCAGCTGTTCCCTTCATCTGGCAACTCTGTGCATGTGCACACTGGGAACAGGCTCCAGCTGTTCATCTGCCTCACTGATGTCTGACCCTGAAGGCAGCTAATAACTGGTATACGGCCCTGGCCCCCTTTCTGCCTCCGACGCAGAGCCCTCATCAGAGCCTTCCCCAGACTCCAGGACTGGCCCATGTTCCTCCCCAACCTCCTCACTGTCCGAATCTGCTGCGGGCCACAACAGATCTCAGTACAGCCATAACAGCTTCGTTTATTTTTATTTCAGGTCCTGAAAGGGGGACAGGAGGCCCCCACAAAGCCCAAAGGCCGCCCAAAGAAAAATTCCATTCCCACCTCAGAGGAAATCGAAGCAGAAGAAAAGTTAAACAACCAAACTCAGCCAGAGGTCTCGAAGGAAAGCCAAGCAGAAGATGACTGTGGCTTGACCGAGGAGCAGTTGGGCTCCTCTTCAGATACCGATGGATCTCTTAAACACATAGCAGAGGCATCCCCAGGGCTGACAACCTCAAGTTAAGAGCCACCTCAAAGCTCCCGCAGGGGACAATGCATAAACTGGATGTCCCTGCACCTTGTGCCTTAAGAAATCGATTGGTGTGATAGGTGACGGCTGGATGAGGAGATCCAATGTTAACCAGGATGGTTTCTTGACCGCCCCAGTGTCAAGTTTCCCTACACGTATCCTGGAATCTGAGTAATTCTCCCAAAAACTGCATGCTAAAGAGATTGGCGCTTCCGAAACAACACAAGCGACTCAACTCCTCACGTTTCCACGAGAAGAAGCGTTTTAGGGACTTCAGCATGCTGAAGATACTGGTTCTTTATCTTGCCATAACTGATGATGTTGTTGTTGTTATTGTTGTTGTTATAATTATTATTCAGAATGCTTTAAAATGGATTCTAAGTGGCAACTACCAAAGACAGGGAGAACAGGATTCCCACTGTTGCATTATGTAAAAGTGCCAACGCAAAGCATTTTTCATGGGTCATTCAAAATAAGGGGATGTCAGTGATCTCCCATGATGCTGGCCAGAGAGTGATCTTGGTGGCAGTCAAAAGAAATAGCAATAGCACTTAGATTTACATACCACTTTACAGTACTTTACATCCCTTTTGTAAGCGGTTTACAGAGTCGGCATATTGCCGCCAACAATCTGGGTCCTCACTTTACCCACCTTGGAAGGATGGAATCAACCTTGAGCCTGGTAAGATTCGAACTGCCAAATTGCATGTAGGCAGAAGAAGTAGCCTGCAGTACTGCACTCTAACCACTGCGCCACCAAGGCTCATATTAAATATTAATATGATGAAGAAATATTAACGATGCTCTCGAATTGTGAGTCTCAAGTGAGCTAATTTCCTAAAAGATCGTTTAAGCCACCAGGAAAGGTAGAAGAAGCAAATGTCCTAGGAAGAGCTACCTTGGCAGCAAATATATTGATTTGATCAACAATGATCAGGGGCTGGTTTTAGCCACTCAGTAGGCTGAAGTTGCAATCCAGAACTGTTATTCGCATAGCTCCATACTAGCTACTCTTTGTCCCCATTGAACTGTAAGAAAACTATATTGTTCCATACCAGAATCCAACATCAGAGGTTGGAATTTTGAGGAGAACATCGAGGCCCTAAGTTCTCTGGGGATGATCAGTGGCAAATCTGAATGGATACTGCCAGCCCAACTTTGCTATTTACTCAACTTGCTTTTCTGAGTATCCTGTTTCCCCCAAAATAAGACATCCCCTGATAATAAGCCCAATTGGACTTTTGAGTGCATGGCAATACGGCTAAGCACTTATTTCAGAGTTCAAAAAAATATAAGACAGTGTCTTATTTTCGGGGAAACACGGTAGAAAGGCAATAAGGGAGGTGACGTAATAGCAATTTCCTGTCCCTTTGTACTCTCTATCTAGACCAGGAGTGTCAAACTCAATTTCATTGAGGGCCGCATGAGGGCTGTGGTTGACCTCGGGGGCCTGTGTGGGTGTGGCCAACTGTGTGGGTGTGGCCATCTTGACGCCACTCCCCAAACTGCTGGCAAGTTTCCTTTTCGCATTGGGTAGACCAGGACGGCCCACGTGAGCCAGATCCAACCACATCACAGGTCACTTGGCCCGTGGGCCTTGAGTTTGACACCCCCGATCTAGACTGTGGTCCGGGTTTAACTTAGTAGAAGAAGGCTTGTGTGGGGGTACTGGAGGCTGAGAAGGGATCCACTTGGTCATAAGTGTGCCCTGAAAAGATCTGGCACAAGAGTCTTCCACACCTGGATCATTGCTAGACTGACACATTTCTTCTGGAGAACCTTTGAGTCAATGTAGACAGCAGAATGCCAGTGCAAGCCATTTAATGGCTTCTTTCAGCACAGAGAACATTATTGGGCATCTAAAGCAAGCCTTCCCTTCAATCATCTGGATGTTGTGACCAAGGCCCAAGTAGTGATTACCAAACACAATTCAGTCCTCAACAAAGTTATTTTATTAAAACAGCTGAGAATTAATTCATTCTCAGCTTAGTCCAAAACAAAATTCTTCATAACCAGTCCCTCGGCCTTATCACCAACCTTTGATGTCTTTGGCAACCAGCCAAAGGCTTTTCTTGGCAAAAATCCCACAAAGTTCAAGAAACCCTGACAAGAAGCACTGGAATCAACGTTGCTTTTCTACAAAGAACCCAACAGCTCCTTGCTGCTCGTTTAAGCCTTATGGGAGGGGCCAATCATCTTCTGGCCTTACTCCCGAGTTGTCCTTTTTTCTTCAGCTGCTCTTGCCTTCCAGCAGCTCTGTGCATGCGTGCACTAGGAACAGGCTCCTCCTGTTCTTCTGCCTCTCTGCTCTCCGCCTCTGGAGGCTCCGGAGTCCACGCATTGCTCCAAGATGGCCCTGGCCCCATCTCTGCCTTCAATGCAGAGCCCTCGTCTGGGCCTTCCCCTGACTCCAGGACTGGCCTATTGTCCTCCCCAGCCTCCTCACTGTCCGACTCCGCTGCCACGTCCGCAGGCTGCTGGCGGACCACAACACTGGAATACTGTGTTACCCTGGAAATGAAATGGAAGTTAATAGGAGAGCAAGCAAAACACTAGCATATAGTATTTCCCCCCCGAGGGTATCTGTGCAATGAATTGTTAGGAATTGAAGCTGCCATAATCAAAAGCCAGTTTACCCTTTATGCGTTCGCCTCTGGCCAGTTTATATTAAGGAGGAGCAGCTAGGAGTTTCCTTCTGTTGCGATCTCCTTTGTACGTTTCTTCCACTTTAAAAAAAACCAAACCAAATCATCGTTTTAAACAACGCATCCAAAGCGTGCATCAAAATGGTATTTGAAAGCTTGTTTGTTTGTTTTTTAAAAAAATGTTATTTGCTCCTACACACCGTTTGTATTTTTAAATGTTTGTTCCCTCAAGGTAAGGGTTTGCAAATATTTTTGATGCCTTTTTGTGCCAAGAATTGTATTAAAATTTTGGTGAGGGCAGGAGCTCCAGAGTTACTGATTTTTGTAAAAAAATCTATTTGCAAAATGGGTGAAACAAAGATCAGGTCAGTTCACCGGATTTGAAATTTGTCAGTGTAGTGCAAAGGCCTTCAAACTTGGCAGTTTTAAGACTTGTGGACTTCAACTCCCAGAATTGGAGGGAGTTGAAGTCCACAAGACTTAAAGCTGCCAAGTTTGAAGGCCTCTGATGTAGTAGTTACTGGAAACAGCTCAACCTCACAAGCCTCTCTTTGCATAAGAGTCAGGCTTGATCACATGTTGGAAAATGTCATGCCTTATTCAATTAATTATATTCTTCTGAGTAATGAGTTCCAGCAAATAGATACGCTACTGTGATGCAATCCGGTTTTTAAAGACAAAATACCTGAGAATCAGACTGGGGATTCTTGGGACTATCAGAAGAATCAAGAGGGCTCCCACAAATGTCTGATTGGTGACCTTATTTTACCAGGTTGCACATCTGATATAAAAAAGGAAAGGGCCGGCCTTTGATGCAGTCATTGGGACTGATGTTCTTCACCCTTTGGTGAATGGCCCTGAAGCCACATTCAAAACAATTATGACAATATAGATCAGGGGCATCCAACTTTGGCAACTTTGAGACCTATGGAACTTCAACTCCCAGAATCCTCTACTCCAGATCAGTTCAGGAAGCGTCTTTGTGCCCATCTCTTTCCCTCAGCTTTGGAAGGTTCCATTTGTGGTTGTTGCCATTTCTCACCTGGGAACTGTTTCTCCTGTTGAGTAATGCAGGTGAGGAGCGCTGAACCCATCCATCCTTGGTATCTGCAAGGAAAACAAGTCACGAACTCGAGTAGAAATTTTTTGCAGGAGAGGGATTTGCGTTTTATTTTCCAGCCCTGTGTGCCAAAGTTTAAGATAACCATCTTGTTTCCTACAGTCTTGTTAAAGGGTGCGTTTTTCTTTTTGCCCAGATGCTGCAAAGAACTGTATCAAGATAACCTTTATTTTTTAATTAAAAAAATAAAATGTGTAAATAAAGGAGTCAATGGAATCTTCTCTCTTTCTCTCCTCTCTCTCCCTTTCTTCCTTAACATCCAAGCTTCCATGGAGCAGAAGTCATTTTGTATATTGCTTTGATATGTGGTGATGGCTATTTATTTATTATTATTTATTAGTCCAATTTATATGCCGCCCTTCTCCGTAGACTCAGGGCGGCTTACAATGCATTATAGCAATAGCCTGCATACTTTTTTGTATATACCTGCTTATTAGGGCTTTCAGCCCCCCTAAGCGGTGTTGTTCTATACAAAGCTGGCTTATTGCCCCCACAATCCGGGTCCTCAATTTACCTACCTCGAAAGATTGGAAGGCTGAGTCAACCTTGAGCCTGGTGAGATTCGAACTTGCACTAATTGCAGGCAGCTGGAAGCTAAGTGCTAGCACTTAATAGCGCTTTAGTCCGCTGCACCACTGAGGCTATCAACTTAGCTAGTTTAAAAAAAAAGGTTAGACCATTTCCTAGAGGTCCTAGGGATCAAGAACTATTGGCTTTGATGGCAGTGGACTGACTCTGAAGGTCATCTGTTGTCAGCTTCCTTGTACAACTGGTTGGCACTATGAGAATAAACTGGTAGACTAGATGGGTCAGAGGTCTCATTCAGCAGATGAGTTTTGAGTAGTTGGTTCTTATGTATTTATGTCCCTTCCAGTCCTATGATTCTATGACTTATAGTCAGTGGTGGAATTCAAATTGTTTTATTACCGGTTCTGTGGGCGTGGCTTGGTGGGTGTGGTGTGGCTTGGTGGGCATGGCAGGGGAAGAATACTGTAAAATCTCCATTTCCTCTCCACTCCTGGGGGAAGGATATTGCAAAATCCCCATTCCCTCCCCACTCCTGGGGAAGGATACTGCAAAATCTCCATTCCCACCCCACTCCAGGGGAAGGATACTGCAAAATCCCCATTCCCGGGGGAAAGATGTTGCAAAATCTCCCTTCCCACCCCACTCTGGGGCCAGCCAGAGGTGGTATCTGCCGGTTCTCTGAACTACTCAAAATTTCCACTACCGGTTCTCCAGAACCTGTCAGAACCTGCTGGATTTCACTCTTGCTTATACTTATAGTGAGGCAGAAGATAAGTTTAAGTTTAAGTTTATTTATTTGTCAAGCATATATAAGATTACAGGTAAAAAGTATAAACATAATTTGAATACATGAAAAGACTAAATAAAAAGGAATATTAGGACAGGAACAGTAGGCACGCTGGTGCACTTATGCATGCCCCTTAATATAACTATAAAGATAACTATTAGCCTGCATTCCCATGTACCTGAAAAGCATACTACATCTTACAAGATATCTCCAGACAATGATGATGGTATCACATAAAGCCTTGGATAGCATAGAGTTGCACAAAGTATATGTCAACATGGAGAAGAATCTTAGAGCGTGTTTCATACTAGAAGACACATCTGCATGGAAGGTCATAATCACGGATCATACAGACATTAAGACTACAATCTTATTATCAATCAACCTAGAAGAAATCCCCATTGAATTAAATGGGGGCTACCTTTAAATAATTATATACACAGGACTTCAAGACTTCTCCTTGTAGCCATTTGCTGTCATCTTGTCCTTTCTAATCTGGTCGTCTTAGTGCTAAAATTCCTGCCTCTGAGTTGTGTTCTTTATGAAGCAACTTTTTTGTTAAATTGTTAATGATGGTTCTTTTCTCAAATACTGTATATTACTAAAGGAAGCTTAGATCTTTTCCTTTAACTCTAATATTAATCGTTGGTTCAGGTCGTCCCAAAGGTGCTTTTTCAAGAGGCAACTGGACTTTCTGGTTTTTCTCTGAAGACATTTCGCTTCTCATCCAAGAAGCTTCTTCAGCTCTGAGCTGAAATCTAGTTCCCTCCTGAAAAAGCACCTCCTAACAACCATGACCTGGATGACTGAGAATCTCTATAGACATTGGTTCAGATCCCATTTCTCTCCAACTCATCTCAAAATGGAAAGAGTTTGGCAGGTGTGGCCCCTGGCTTCATAATTCTTATTTACCGGTACCTCCTGGAAAAAAGGAACATCTCTATCATCACTATCATCTAGTAATTGATAATCCACATTCTCGTTGACTGTTCAGACAAACACGATGGGAAAAAATGTGCACATTATGTGCCTCTGCGTGGGTGTGGGTGAACGGGTGTATATATGTGTGTATTTGGCTCCAAACCTCCTCCTTTTTTAAAAAAAAAAAATTAATCATCCTATCTGAGGCAGAAGAAGTTGAGCTTGTGACTATGATGGATTTGAATTAACTCTCAGTCACAACCCACTACGCCAACTATTCACCACTTAACTGAACGACAGAAGTAATTACATTTTTGTTCCATAGCACTCGGGGTGAATTCAGGCTTGCCTTGGCTGATGAAATCTGTCGATGATGCCAAAAGAGAAAGGTGTGCGCTTCGGAGGCTGGCAGACAAACAAGGTGAACTAACCCCTTCCATCTGTTCTAACACGTCCATTATCTGGTGGAAACACTGAAGCTATTGTTTCCAAGAACAGTCTCGGAGAGGAGGAGGCCCCAACGTTCCTTGGTAGGCAATTGTAAGTTCCTCCCAGGCTCAAGGGGGCATTACGGTAGTCTCACCTTCTTTGCCAGTTTTAGTAAAACAATCCATTAGGAAAAGACATTCCCTCATAGGGAAGGCGTTCCTTTCAAGGGAAAGCCGGTAGCATGTATGCATGTATTTGCATAATTCCAAAGAAAACAACCCCTAGCAGACAAAACAGAAGAACGGATCTGAATGTATTTTGGGTCTACTTATTGCCTTACCAAAAGGGATGCGGTGGCTCAGTGGCTAAAATGCCGAGCTTGTCGATCAAAAGGTTGGCAGTTCAGCGGTTCGAATCCCTAGTGCCGGGTAATGGGGTGAGCTCCTGTGACTTGTCCCAGCTTCTGCCAACCTAGCCGTTCGAAAGCACGTAAAAAATGCAAATAGAAAAATAGGGACCCCCTTTGGTGGGAAGGTAACAGCGTTCTGTGCGCCTTTGGCATTTAGTCATGCCGGCCACATGACCACGGAGACGTCTTCGGACAGCGCTGGCTCTTCAGCTTTGAAATGGAGATGAGCACCGCCCCCTAGAATCGGGAACAACTAGCACATATGTGAGGGGAACCTTTACCTTTACCTTTACCTTTACCTTTATCTTATTGGCTTAGCACACAGGTGAACAACTTTATGGTGCCTTCATAATGTAGGGGGTGGGCGGATAGGCTAATGGCTGTACAGCTGCAAGGCAAAAGTAGGTGGAGCTAACTCTCAAATTGTTAAACTGGATTAGGCTTTTTCACTATTGTTTGCTTGTTTGTTCCTTCCATCCATCCATGTGGAAAGATACTTCCTTTCATTTACCGTAGTTGTGGCCATCAGAGTTGAAGCTAAAGACCCGAAGAAAGAAAAATGTGGATGCTACCTGTGGCTCTGGAGACACAATTATTCACTCTGCTTTAGGTCAGAGTGAATAATTAAGATTTATAAACCATAATTTCTTAATTGCTCTTATTATGCATTGCTCCAGGTAGCTTACAGCAGCAACAATCCCATAAAAATTAATCTAAATCAGACAGGAACTTCAATAATAATTCTAACAATTATCCATCATGTTAAACCTTCAAAATGAGAATTACTGTAATGGTTAAAAATCATGACACACTAACACATCATTTTGAAATTGCATTATTATAAGAAACGCAACAAATCCTAGACCCCTTGACATTTCAAATGGTATATTAAGGTTAAGATTAACATCACAATATCATTGCACATGTGCTATCATTCTTTGTGTTCTTGTGGCATGCTATGGACACTCTTGTTCAGTATCTCCCTACTTTAACTGGTTACTATGGGGAATTAATTCCGTATATTTGGAAAACGCCAGGATTGAGGAGGCTGAAGTAGAATAAATTTGAGAATGATATGTGTGATGGTGGATCCATCCTTCCATCCATAGCTATGATAGGACAAGACTAAATCATATAAAGAGCCCTAAAACTTCTTTAAATGCCAACACACATACACAAATTTGACATCCAACCTCCAGCTACCAGCCCTGGACGACATCTTCGAATCTCGCTGTTTGAGGAAGTTGCATAACATTCTCAGAGACTCTTCCCATCCTGCTTACAATCTTTTTGGACTGTTGCCTTCTGGCAGAAGATACAGAACAATTAAAACTCGGACCACACGTCTTCTGAATAGTTTTTATCCCAGAGCTATAATTGCACTCAACAATGAACTAAAGGGCCACCATCAGTGAGCTGTTGGACAGCATTACTTGGTCTGTTGTGTGGATGTTTGGGTGGTTTAGGGGTGGGGAATTGTGGTGGGTGGGTGGGTGGGTGTTTGGGGATTGTTATATGTGGTGGACCTGGTCTTTAGGTGTTGTGAATTTCGTTGTATGGGTATACTGTGTATACACATACAATGACAATAAAGTTGTTATTATTATTATTATTTAAAACATCCATTGTTTTAGACATGAAGTAATATTTTCTGATCTTTATCCTTTAAATCATAAGACATATATTTTACATTTCTTAAAACCAACACCCATCGATTGGATAGTCAAATTCTGTGTTCCACAGTTCAGGCCCATTAACTAAAGCTCATCTTCATTCTATTCTTAAATAAATTCCATACAGTATATAATTCAACTGTTGGTTTGTCTTTAAGCACCGGGGAGTCTTAGAATTCATTAATCAATTTCTCTTGATCCTTCTGAAGCCCTTTCTCTTCCTCTCCCTCTCTCTTTCTCTGTTTGTTTTGATTGCAGATTGATCAGGCTCACAATTAGGCCCCCCCTATGTTTTGCAAAACTGTCATCACTGGCACTTTATTAACTGGATAATTTGCTGACAAACTATTTGAACAGCAAAAGGAAGAAGCTGCGGATCAAGGGAGGAAGAATTTACCGCCTCGGGTCAATGAGAAGGCCAAGATCAACCGAAAACTCAGTCAACTGTGCCTTAAATATA